TCTGCATCCCCTTTAAATTTGGGTCCGAATTTATATCTCTAATTAGCGTATCTAATACTAGAATAAAGAGAAGGGGTGAAAGTGGGCACCCCTGTCTCGTTCCTTGTGTAATATTGATTTGGGGGTCTGTTTCCTGGCCGTTAATTATTAATTTTGCACTTTGCGTGTTATATATAGCGTTTACTGCATTTTGAAATTTATAGCCAATATCAATTTCTTGTAGTAATAATTTGAGATATGTCCAATTTACTTTATCAAACGCTTTTTCTGCGTCGATAAATAATAAGGCTGCCTGTTTCTCATTATGTTTTTCATAATACTCTATCGTATTTATTAACATCCTTGTGTTGTCCTTAATTTGCCTTTGTGGTAAGAAACCTACCTGTTCTCCCACTGCCCAGTCCTTCAAAAATTTCTTTAATCTCTCCGCCATAATTAAAGCAAATATTTTATAATCAGTGTTTAATAGCGATATTGGGCGGTAATTTTTTATATCTTCCGGATCGGTGCCTTCCTTTTGAATAAGAGTTAAATTTGCCTTTTGCCATGTGTCGGGGAACGTTTTGTGATTTAGGATATTATTTATAATTTCTTGAAATAGTGGATTCAATTCATTTCTAAAAATTTTATAAAAGGTTGCCGTGAACCCATCTGGTCCCGGGGCCTTATTTTTTTTTATCTTCGAAATTGCTATGTCTATTTCTGATATTGTTACCGGCTCATTAAGTAATGTTCTTTGTTCTTCTGTTAATTTTGGCAATTTTAGGTTTCCTAAATACTTTGTAATTTCTTCTTCTTCTATGCTCGCTTTTTGATATAGGCTATTATAGAAATTTGCAAATTGCCCTATAATACTCTTTCCTTCCGTAAATGTTTTCTCTCCTACTTTAATCTTAGTGATGGTTTGTCTATGTTTTTTCTTTTTGAGTTTATTTGCAAGCCATTTTCCGGCTTTATTGGCGTTTTGATAAAAGCTTGCCTTGACATACTTCATTTGTTTTTCTAATTTGTCCAGTTGTAATATCTCTAATTGTTTTTTTAGGGTTTTAATCCTTAAGTTAACCGCCCTCTCTTTTGGGTTCCTCTTTAAGAGTTTTTCTTCTTCTTGTAAAGCCTCCGTTATTTTTTTTATTTCTCTATCTCTGTCTTTTTTATTTATGGCCTCCTGCTTAATGAAATATCCTCTCATTACTGCCTTCATCGCATCCCATTGCGTCTCTTTTGTTGTTTCTACCCCGCTATTTAGATTTAAATATTCCTGCAGTAATTTTCTATTTTTTTCAATATCTACTTCTTTCCTTAGCAGATTGTCTTTAAGGCGCCACCTGTATTTGAAATTACTTCCTTTTATTACTAATTCAATCGCACAGTGGTCCGAAAGCATTCTAGTTAAGATCTTTATTTTGTTTATCCTTAGTAAGATTGATTTAGTAGCCCAGACCATGTCTATTCTAGACCATGATTTATGCCTTCCGGAAAAGAAGGTGTAATCTCTAACGTTCCCTTTGTGGCGTCGCCACGTGTCTTTTAAATACCATTTTTCCAGCTGTGCTATGAATCTTTTGGGTAGCCTACTAGATTTATATTTATTTTTATTTGGGGGTTCGCTTTTATCCCTTGATGATTTATCTAGTATGGGGTCTATGGCCCCATTAAAATCTCCCATTATTAATAAGTCGTCAAACTCTTGATTATCTATATTTCTTTTAAGTTCCTTCAAAAAATTTTGCTTCGAACCGTTTGGGCAGTAAATATTGCAAATTAAGATCTTTTGGTTCTTTATTTCAATTTTAACACCAATAAAACAGCCTTCTTCATCTTTAAAACTCTGTGTGGGTTGCAACCAAGGCTTAATGTATAACACGACCCCTTTCTTCTTGTTTTCTGCTGATGCATAAAAGCATTTTCCCAATTTTTCATTTTCTAAATGTTTTACATGTATACTTTTTATGTGAGTTTCTTGAACTGCTATTATTTCGTAATTCTTTTGCCTCAGAAAGTTGAAAAAACGTCTCCTTTTATTCGGGGAATTCAATCCATTTATATTATTTGAGTATATCCTTATGTCCTTATTCATTTATGTTTTCCTGCATCTCCCAGTGGACTATGTCCTGAGTCATCAACAGTTTATAATTCTCCGGGGAGAACTCCCGCAGTCTTTTTTGCTCTCTTTCTTTGATTCCTGCCTGTATGTTGTATATGTCCCCTTCTTCTTCTGTTGTGTTTACTTCTTCTGGGATTCTTTTTGGAGTTTTTTCCTGCATATCTTTCCTACTTTCTTGTGATTGTTTCTGGAATTCTTGTCTCATGGGCTTGATGTGTGTTGTGAAAAAGACTTTGGCTTTCTCTTCGGAATTTATCCAATATTTATTTCCATTCCAAGTGACTGTGATCCCTTCCACCTTCTCCCATCTGAATTTTACTTTCCTCTTTTTCAATTCCTCGGTTAGGAAGGTATATTTTCTGCATCTTGCTAATGTTTGTTTAGTGACTTCTTTCATAATAATCACTCTTTGCTCCTTATAATAGATTGGCTTCCTAGCGCTTTCCTTTAGTATTTCGTCACGAGTGCTTTTCCTGCAGAAGCTTATGACCACGTCCTTTGGTGTTTTATTTTTCTTTGCATATTCTGATGGCACCCTGTAGGCTCTATCTAGGTCTTGTCCAATAATTTCTCCGCTCACATCCAGTAGTTCTGCCAATAACTCTATTGATAGTTGTTTTACATTTTCCTCTTTTGACTCTTGTAGGTTTCTCAATCTTATCTGATACTCCAGTTCTCTGTTCTCGAGGAGCTCTGTCTGGTGTTGGAGTTTTTGGTTCATATTCTCTAATTTCGTGATTCTGGATTCCGTCTTGCTCTGCGCTTTTATTATTGTTTGATTTTCTTTTTTTATCTTATCTACGTCCGCTTGAATTTTATTTATGTCTTCCTTTAGATCTGTTTTTAATTTCTTTATTTCTTCTTGTAATTCTTTGTGTGGTGAATCTTGTTTCGCTGACATTTTTTTTATTTCTTCTAATATGCTTTGTAGTACAGTATCCTCTGTGATAGAGTCTTTTTTTTTGTTGTTGTTTGGCAGCTTGCGTCAGTTGTGGTGTTGTTTTGGCTTTAGGGTTTTGCATCTTGTTCCTTTGGCTTGACTTTCTTTGTTTACTAAAATTGGATTGTTGCCCTCTATGGGTGTTCTTCCTTTAGTTTAATGATGTATTCTTATTTTTATTGGTTTTACTTTGCCTCTGTTCTTTCTCTTTCTGCTTATATTCCGTTTCTTCAATCCTTTTGTTAATTTCCTTTATTAGTAGTGATTCTCTTTCTTTTTTATTTCACTCTACTAGTTCCTTTCTGTTGTTTGTTGTCTGTTTTCGTTCCCTTTTTGGAACTTTATGTCTTTTTAAGTTCTGGTTGTTATGGGTTTGTTATGGGTTTTTTGCTGTTATTTTTTATGGGGTTTGTTGTTTGTGGCTAACCTCTATTTATATTTAAGTTTATAATTACTTTGTAGATGGGGTGTACAATCCTTCTCTTGCCTACCTTGCCTTCTTTCTTTGTTGTCTTCTTTCTCTCTTCCAGCTTTCTGGGCCTTCTTCTTTCTTCCGCCTATCTTCCCGTTCGTATCCCTTTCTCGCGAGATGAGGTCCTTTTATCACGGTGTTTCCTCCTTCTGTCTTCCGTCTTCCCTGTCCTCTCGTGTCTTCTCGCGGGATTTCTCCCTCTCGCGTGGTCTCTCCCTCTCGCGGTGCTTAGTCTGCCTCTTGCTGGATCACTCTCGTCGCTTCTCCTCCCACGTTTTCCTTATCTCCTTATCTCCTTCCCCGTCTCAAGGCCGGCTCCACTTAGCTTCTTGAGCTTTTCCAAGGTCAGTTCTATTTATTTATTAATTTCCCCTCTGTCTTTTCCCTTTCTTGAGGGTTGTGGTCTTTATGGTGGGGGGGGGGGCGAGGAGGTAAGCGGAGTTTTAAGCCGTTTTTCCTATTAAGTATTCAGTTTTCAATATTCCCTTCCTTAAAGAGGGTTTTCACTTCTTCGGCCCTTCCCTTTATCTTAGATTCTTTCTATCCGTTGCCTTGCCGATCGCCGTTCGTCACAGCCCGCTGTACCCTGGGGTTCGGGATATCATGGGCATCTCCTCCGAGGCGCCCGTTGTATCCCTCCTCCCCGTTGGTTATGCCGTCCCTTCTGTAGGGAGGGAGCTTATTCCGTGGCTCTACCCAGCTGTGTTGCTTAGGCTGGCAAGTTATCCTTTTCTTTTCCTTTCCTTTTTAAGTTCTTTAGTTCTTCCTCCCCTCTCCTTTCCGAATCAGTTGGGATCCGGTTGGGATAGGGCCTAAAAAGACCCCGCTCAGAGTCCGGGGCTTTACTATTTCTTTCTCCCGATCTCCTCGCTCCTCTACACAGATTAAATTCTGGATCTCTCTAACCACCACCTTCGATTATTCACTCTGATTGTCCTTCGTCATCTTAGATCTGTACTTACTTTTGTCGACCTCAGCTGTTTGAAGGTCAGAGAGTTTGCCTTGTAATTTTCCTTCTTTCGCTGCGATCTTTCCTTCTTTATTATTGTGTTGTTGGCCGGCAGAGATAGAGGGAGAGACTTCAAAAATGTCCTCCCGCCGCGGCTTGAGTCTCACCACACTCCCGTTGCCGGGCGCTTTTGGGAACCTCCTTGAGGGGGGCACCGCCTTGCGCCGTCGGCCGGGTGTCGGTGAAAAAAGACCCTCCGAGACCTCAATCTGTCTTGTGAGGGAGGGGGTTTTGGCCCCCTGACTCAAAGAAAAGAACGCGGCTGTCTCCGAGAGCAGCTGGAGACACGTCCTCCACCATTCGGCCACCAACCGGAAATCCCCCATTCCTTTCTTTTTAAAGAATAATTTATTCCCTTTTCTGGTATCTGTGTATGTGCTTGAGCGTTGTTGTCTGCATTTCCATTTTCAACGTGACTCATGAAGGGAAAGGTGAAAATCTTGGAGGTAAAGAAGGTTTCTGGCTTTCATCCTTGATCTTTCTCTTCTTTCTTCACCAGGGAAGTGAGGACTCTTTGGAGCGACCTCTTGGATGCAGTAAGGAAACCAATAATAGAGGGAGAAGACATCCTCTCGGGGCGATGATCTTGCTGAATTCTTGACTTCACTTACAGATAACAAAGGAATAAAGAAGAGTCGAGTCTCTGTATTGCAATTTCAGACTGCTCTGAGTCCCCTTCAGGGTGAGAAGAGGGGTATAAAAACAGTGAATAATTAATTAATTAATTAAACACCCATATCACTGTTGACATGGAGGAGAAAGCATTTCAATGCCTGGAGTGTGGAAAGAGTATCACTAGGAGATGCTATCTGCAGCAACATGCAAGGACTCACACTGGGGAGAAACCCTATGAATGCCTGGAGTGTGGAAAGAGCTTCACTCAGAGCTCAAGTCTACGTTTACATCAAAGGACCCACACTGGGGAGAAACCCTATGAATGCCTGGAGTGTGGACAGAGATTCACTCATAGTGGAAGTCTACGTAATCATCAAAGGACTCACACTGGGGAGAAACCGTATACATGCCTGGAGTGCGGACGGAGCTTCTCTTATAGTTCAGTTCTCAGTTTCCATCAAAGGACTCACACTGGGGAAAAACCCTATGAATGCTTGGAGTGTGGGAAGAGATTCACTCAGATTTCGGGTCTACATTCCCATCAAAGGACTCACACTGGGGATAAACCATACACATGCCTGGAATGTGGACAGAGCTTCACTAATAGTGGAAGTCTACGTTCCCATCAAAGGACTCACACTGGGGAAAAACCCTATACATGCCTTGAGTGTGGACAGAACTTTGTTCGTAGTTCAGGTCTACGTTCACATCAAAGAACTCACACCAGGGGAAAAATCTATACATGCCTTGAGGGTGGACAGAGCTTCACCTATAGTTCAGGTCTACATTCACATCAAAGAGCTCACACTGGGGGGAAACCCTATACATGCCTGGAGTGTGGAAAGAGCTTCACTCAAAGTTCAAGTCTACGTAAACATCAGAGGACTCATACTGGAGAAAAACCCTATACATGCCTTGAGTGTGGACAGAGCTTCACTCATAGTGGAAGTCTGCTCTCCCATCAAAGGACTCACACTGGGGAGAAACCCTATGAATGCCTGGAGTGTGAAAAGAGGTTCACTAATAGTTCAGGTCTACGTTTACATGAAAGGACTCACACTGGGGAGAAACCTCATACATGCCTGGACTGTGGAAAGACCTTCGCTCATAGTGGAAATCTACGTTCGCATCAAAGGACGCACGCTGGGGAGAAACCTTATGAATGCTTGGAGTGTGGAAAGAGGTTCACTAATAGTTCAAGTTTAACTAATCATCATAGGACGCACACTGGGGAGAAACCCTATAAATGCCTGGAGTGTGGACAGAGCTTCTCTTTAAGTTCATGTCTACGTTCCCATCAAAGGACTCACACTGGGGAGAAACCCTATGAATGCTTGGAGTGTGGGAAGAGGTTCACTCAGATTGCAAGTCTACGTTTACATCAAAGGACTCACAATGGGGAGAAACCGTACACATGCCTGGAATGTGGAAAGAGCTTCACTCAGAAAGGAAATCTGCATTCGCATCAAAGGTCTCATACTAGAGAGAAACCCTATGCATGTCTGGAGTGTGGAAAGAGCTTCACTCATAGGGGAAATCTACATTTGCATCAAAGGACTCACACTGGGGAGAAACCCTACACGTGCCTGGAGTGTGGAAAGAGCTTCACTCAGAGAGGAAATCTACATTCACATCAAAGGACTCACACTGGGGAGAAACCCTATAACATGCCTGGAGTGTGGCCAGAGCTTCACTCAGAGGAGACCTATATAGACATCAAAGGACTCACACTGGGGAGAAGCTCTATGTTGGAGCATGCAAGCAATCAGTGAGCCTGTGTTTATATTTATCGTGTCAGGCAACCAAACAGTTGTATTACTTTTTTGACAGAACAAACAAACAAACATACAAGAGACACAGAGTTTGCAAGCTTGGTATTCTATTAAATGTCCTTTGACCAGTATCTGTCCCCTTGGAGTGCCTCTGGTGTTGCCGCAAGGAGGTCCTCCATCATGCATGTGGCTGGGCTCAGGATGCATTGCAGCAGGTGGTCAGTGGTTTGCTCTTCTCCACACTCGCATGTCGTGGATTCCACTTTGTGGCCCCATTTCTGAAGGTTGGCTCTGCAGCTCAGTGAGTCTATGTGTGTCAACTGTAAAATGAAGCTGATTGGTTGGGCAATGCCCCAGGTGATGGCTGAGCTTAGAACTTTAGGATACTGTTGCATCTTTGTTCAGGCTTAAGCTATGGAGGTGCAGAGAGATAAAGAGAGAGAGAGACTGATTTGCTTCTTGGCTGCTGAAAGAAGGTCTCTCATATGTATAAATATGTGAGAGGAAGCCACAGGGAGGAGGAGGAGGGAGCAAGCTTGTTTTCTGCTACCCTGGAGACTAGGACGCAATGGAACAATGGCTTCAAACTCCAAGAGAGGAGATTCCATCTGAACATGAGGA